AGATGGAATTTACGAACGAATCGGTTTTTTGTCAACAACATTTTTCAACCCATCGATGATTAATTTGTTTGAATGCCAATATATGGTAGGGATTCGTACGCATTCAAAAAGGTATAACATTTTAAAATCGGACATTATTTACCCGAGATATTAAAAAAATATCATCAGAAAAGTTTCGATTTTCGCACCCACATCGATTTTGGAAAAAAACGTGATGATTTGGAAGGAGTTATGTCGTTTTGAAACGTCATATCTCCCCGCGGAGTTATGTCGTTTCGAAACGTCATATCTCCCCGCGGAGTTATGTCGTTTCGAAACGTCATATCTCCCCGCGGAGTTATGTCGTTTTGGAACGTCATATCTCCGCGCGGAGTTATGTCGTTTTGGAGCGTCATATCTCCGTCATATCTCCGCGACATAAAATGTTGTTTTGGAAAGTCATATCTCCGCGCGGAGTTATGTCGTTTTGGAACATCATATCTCCCCGCGGAGTTATGTCGTTTTAGAACATCATATCTCCGCGCGGAGCTATGTCGTTTTAGAACGTCATATCTCCGCGCGGAGTTATGTCGTTTTGGAACGTCATATCTCAGCGCGGAGTTATGTCGTTTTGGAACGTCATATCTCCGCGCGGAGTTATGTCGTTTTGGAACGTCATATCTCCGCGCGGAGTTATGTCATTTTGGAACGTCATATCTCCGCGCGGAGCTATGTCGTTTTGGAACGTCATATCTCCGCGCGGAGTTATGTCGTTTTAGAACGTCATATCTCCGCGCGGAGTTATGTCGTTTTGGAACGTCATATCTCCGCGCGGAGCTATGTCGTTTTGGAACGTCATATCTCCGCGCGGAGTTATGTCGTTTTAGAACGTCATATCTCCGCGCGGAGTTATGTCGTTTTGGAACGTCATATCTCCGCGCGGAGCTATGTCGTTTTGAAACGTCATATCTCCGCGCGGAGCTATGTCGTTTTGAAACGTCATATCTCCGCGCGGAGCTATGTCGTTTTGGAACGTCATATCTCCGCGCGGAGTTATGTCGTTTTGGAACGTGATATCTCCGCGTGGAGTTATATCGTTTCGGAACGTCATATCTCCCCGCGGAGTTCTGTCGTTTTGAAACGTCATATCTCCGCGCGGAGCTATATCGTTTTGAAACGTCATATCTCCGCGCGGAGTTATGTCGTTTTGGAACGTCATATCTCCGCGCGGAGCTATGTCGTTTTGAAACGTCATATCTCCGCGCGGAGCTATGTCGTTTTGGAACGTCATATCTCCGCGCGGAGTTATGTCGTTTTAGAACGTCATATCTCCGCGCGGAGTTATGTCGTTTTGGAACGTCATATCTCCGCGCGGAGCTATGTCGTTTTGGAACGTCATATCTCCGCGCGGAGTTATGTCGTTTTAGAACGTCATATCTCCGCGCGGAGTTATGTCGTTTTGGAACGTCATATCTCCGCGCGGAGCTATGTCGTTTTGAAACGTCATATCTCCGCGCGGAGCTATGGCGTTTTGGAACGTGATATCTCCGCGTGGAGTTATATCGTTTCGGAACGTCATATCTCCCCGCGGAGTTCTGTCGTTTTGAAACGTCATATCTCCGCGCGGAGCTATATCGTTTTGAAACGTCATATCTCCGCGCGGAGTTATGTCGTTTTGGAACGTCATATCTCCGCGCGGAGCTATGTCGTTTTGAAACGTCATATCTCCGCGCGGAGCTATGTCGTTTTGGAACGTCATATCTCCGCGCGGAGTTATGTCGTTTTAGAACGTCATATCTCCGCGCGGAGTTATGTCGTTTTGGAACGTCATATCTCCGCGCGGAGCTATGTCGTTTTGAAACGTCATATCTCCGCGCGGAGCTATGTCGTTTTGGAACGTCATATCTCCGCGCGGAGTTATGTCGTTTTAGAACGTCATATCTCCGCGCGGAGTTATGTCGTTTTGGAACGTCATATCTCCGCGCGGAGCTATGTCGTTTTGGAACGTCATATCTCCGCGCGGAGTTATGTCGTTTTAGAACGTCATATCTCCGCGCGGAGTTATGTCGTTTTGGAACGTCATATCTCCGCGCGGAGCTATGTCGTTTTGAAACGTCATATCTCCGCGCGGAGCTATGTCGTTTTGGAACGTCATATCTCCGCGCGGAGTTATGTCGTTTTGGAACGTCATATCTCCGCGCGGAGTTATGTCGTTTTGGAACGTCATATCTCCGCGCGGAGTTATGTCGTTTTGGAACGTCATATCTCCGCGCGGAGCTATTACCCGAGAAAAGTTTTCGATTTTCGCACCGACCTCTGTTTCGAAAAAAAACGTGTATAACTAACGATGTAACTAACCCCTTGCCATTTTGCCGATTTAGATCAAAATTTTGAATCAATCACTTATGACAAAAAAAAGGAACTTAAATAGCATTACAGAAAAATGTCGCAATAACCACGCTGTTAAAATGCGAAGCAGACGCGCATGAATTTGTGTTTGTACATGTATCTTAGAAATTCTTTTCTACCGGTGTCGAACTCACAACTAACTCCAATCGAACTGAATTTTAACCCTTAACCATACAACAAACAGATGGGACAGCTAGAACAAGAAAGGGTAGCTACTCGTTTTCAGTGCGTCAGGTCCCGTATCGACTTCATTTTGGCCCGGGTGATAGAAGGGCATCGCCGACTTTTCTTTCGCTTCCACTACAGGAAACTGCGTTGGCTTAGTCTCAATGCTCTCTCAAGTGTTTGCTCAAGCAGCAACAAATTGAAATCTCGAATTTCGGTCGCATTTCTTCCTTTTTGAAGGCACGAGTGATATTAAAAAGAGTTTGCCACGTCGGGTGCCTAAGTTATCATTTTTGGAACTTCTGAACTTCCAGCTTCGCATACAGGCAGCTGTACGTGCATGTGAATGACCAAAACATCATAAACGCAAAACAAGATGCTACAATTCACGACAGATGTCTCAAGACAGTGGTTGTTTTGCCGAATGTTGACTGTTGACCCATCGCAGTAGCCATAAAATAAAAGATACCTGATCTGTGTCTACCATTCTTAAGATTACATGTCAAATTTGGTGACTCTAGCTCTTAGACCCGAAGAGATTTTCTCGGAGAACATGATTTCGACATTGAGTTTTTCAATTGCTTGGAAATAGAACACGTCGACTATCTCAAGCTTTTAAAGGTGCTGAGATCGCGGGTAACATTTATCCTAGATTTTGTACAGCTGTTTTTAAGAGGTATATATATATATATTCTCTATCGATAGCCGAGTCGATCCGGACATGTCCGTCTATCCGTTCGTCTGCACGAGTTTTGTTCATATTAACGATAACTTGTCCCGCCTCCAAAGAATCGATAAATACCGATAAACACATCATCAGCAATAAGAAGAAACTTGGGGGTTTCTTCTAGTTAGGCTCTTCTTATAGTTGCCTTACGGGCAGAGAAATTAGGTTTATCCGAAATATCAACCATCTTCTGTCTTCCTGATTATTGGACAGGTGGAATGTTTTTCCTAAATATGAGAGAACTGTACCACAATTCTACCTAGCTTTAAAATTGTGGGCTTTCTTTCAGGACGATAGTGAATATTTTGGTGATCAAACCCCCAACTAGACATAGCCTCAGGCTTCATGAGTTGTCGTGCGTCGATCTAGCAAGCGAGAAGATGGCGGTTCAGGTGCCACCAAAGAGGTCCACAATAAATCGCGACAAGTTACTTGCGTAACGTAGTGACCCAAGTGTCGGCAAGTCGATGTCAGAAGCCATAATTGCGGTGTTTCGTTGAATTCAATAAAAATGTTAAAGAAACCCTCTCGATACCCTAAGAAAATTTGCGTTGCTTTATTCTTAAAGAAATTTAAACTATAAGAATTGAAACAATAAGAACATGAAAAAAAAAACCAAGTGACATCAATGGAGGCAACCTCGGGCTTATGCTTATGTTTCATCTTCTTCGAACACTACAACTTTTGAGAGATTGGATGCCAAATTTATCATTAAAAAACAAATTTATATTTAAATTTACTCATCGAAAACGATTTGGAAATCACAAAAACTTTGAAATATTCAAGTGACCCATACAACGCCGGGTAATATTCGCAGTAATTGCGCCTGTCAGCAAACTAAACCAGAGCTGAAGCTGAGAAATGGTTCGAGTTCTCGAGAAAAAGAAGCAGATATCTTAACTGTAGTGTAGTGTGTGTAAGCATAAGCATACATGCATATGTATGTATCTATCTACACATATACACATGCACGCGGTCATATATTTGTGTTTGTGTGAGCGACAAAATTTCATGCACACGCTGTCACACAGTACCACGGCAAACTTGAAGGCGAGGAAGGAAAATAGAAGAATGTGAAAAAATATTGGATTTGCGCATTTTCAAACTCAACAGATCTTTGGAAAGCGAACACAATTTTTCTACCCTGAGAGTGCCACGCACACACACTTACGCAAGCGCACACAGACAAACACACATGCATCACATCAAAACAAAAACAATGCGAACGCCAAGCGGCCAACTGCGGCAACAGCACGAAAACGAGCCAAACAAATCAACAACCAAAAGGGAACCGGAAAAAAAAAAGACGAACTGAAATGCGGCGAATTCGTTTGGCAGCATCAGCTGTCAGCAGCTGACGCCGAGCGGTGCGTTGCCACATGTGCCCAATACCAATAACTGTGCGAAATATATTAAATCAAAATATTATTGATAACCGCACGAAGTGGCATGCGCATTTAACACTAAACAATGTGCAGTTCTTGATGTAAGTGTTGCCAGTGCAACTCTAATTACTGCACTAATTAAAGTCTGAGCACGAGGTGGCAACTCGGTTGAGGCCTGCACCATGCTTGTCTTTGACTCAATTGTCAGTCGCATTTTCACGACGTAGGAACAACGCATGAACAAAACAAGCGCGTCTTGTGCGTCGGATTTTTTGTTGTTGTTTTTTTTTTTTTTTTTTTTTTTTTGTGTGTGTGTGACGCTTTGTTTTAAATTGTAAACACATTTTTTTTCGCCAAATTTTTTTTTTAATGTGCGTTGTGGTTTGTTCTTACTTTTAGTTGTTGTATAGTTCCTAACAAGTATTCGAGCATACGCGTTTTTAAACAACAAATGCTTTGCCGCTGCAAACGTCGCTGTCAATTGCCGTTGTTCCCAGTCGCCGCCGTTGACGCTGTTGCTTCCACTGGCAGCGGCTGCGCTGCCGCTGCTGCTGCTGCTGGACACAGTGGTGTGTACCAATACAAATATTGAAAGAAAAAAAAAAGGAGCTGAAGCAAGCGCCGCATATGCACATGTGTGCGCGCGTGCATGTGTGCGTGTGCGTGCGTGTCTGTGCGTTTAATTGCATTATAAGCTTGCTGGACAGTTGGTCCCGGCAATGCACAGTTGCCAGGGACCGAAAGCTTGTCAAACGCAGCTTCCCACCTGTTTGCCCCAGGCAAAAGTCGTATCATTGCCAGATCAAGGCCAAGAGGCACGCAAATAGGTTACACTCCAGCTTCTCAGTACTGCTTGCTGCACATCAAGATCGTGACATCATATCCTGATTGCGATATTCAATTGTACTGCAACTATCGATACGCAGTTCGAATTTTGTTTCTATCTAGTGTTGTGTGCCCAAGTTTAAAAACGATTTTCGAATTAGTAAAAACAAATAAGTGCAGTTAAATGAAATTTCATCATTTTGCAAAATTCCTGCATAAGAAAAACAGTTTCATTTTAAATAATCTTAAAAGTCTTAGCGCTGCATTGAGTTCCTCTTAAAGGATCGTTTCAACATTGTTTTGGGAGCGTGGAAAATTCATCTTTCGTGTTGTCACTCAACTTGCAGATACCCTGTAACCAGCTGCCCGTCGCCGTAACTGGGGTTTTTGTACACGTGCACCTATCCTAGGCAATGGCAAATTGATGCTGTAATAATTTCTGAGCTCATTGTCAGGGCTTTAAATTGTTAATTATTTGTGTATAACAAAAATTAAGCAGAAAAGGTATCTAGGAAAAAACCTAACCATAAAATGTCTGTCAAATTTTGTGTTCAACTCAGAGCTATGCTCAAAAAACCAGGGATGCAATTCGATATTTATCGATATTTGTGAAATGTTACATTATAATAATCTATAAAAAAAATTTAGTTTTTCTGCGAATTTCTACTTCTTACCATCTTCGAGTTATCAGATACAATCTTCAAAGTTCTATATATATCGATAGTCATTGATATTGATTTATATCTACAAATGTACATAAGAAACTGTACCAAGGAGACAGGAGTCAAGTTCGTAAGATAAACGGGAAATGCTCAAAAAACTTGGGCAAAAGTTGTACATTTTGAAAAATGGCGAAAGTATGAATAGTTAAGAGAGTGGAATGTTATGATATACCCTAACTTTGTATACGATGCGGTGCGCCACAATACGAAATCGCTTTTTTGTAGATTTTGAGGAAATGTGGGAAAAGGGTGGATTGTTAAAATGAAACCTTTAAGCTCTGCTGTCTCTAAGATCCAAGTCTTTAAGCATATGGACACGGCCTGAGCGACTCAGCTTGGCGTCCTTTTAGTGAGTTGAAAGTTTTTCTCTGATTTTCATTTATTTTTTTGTATAAAATGAGTTTCCACTTTAGAGTTATTGTGAATTCAAAGCTCAATGCTAATTGATATTTCGTTAAACTAAATACTTGTCAGTTTTTGACAATACTCTATAAAGTTATTTGCTATCTTTGACAACGTCGCTAAAAACTTGATATATTACATATTCGTTTCTCAAAAGAAAAATAGTATTATTGTGTTATTCAACAAGAATCTAGGTAAATGCTAGAACGCTAAAATGATTTGATTGAAAATAGAAAACATTTCATATAGTATTTTAATACATTTCATATTCTTGTCTATTCCATCCAAAGATTTATTACATTAAGTTAAATGGCCGATGCAGATGATGTCAATAAGTTGGGCGGGCAGAGGGAGAAGAATACAGCGGTTCACATAGCCAAGGTCGAGGAACTACGCTCCTGTGCGCCCTTCATCAAGAATGTGGTGAAAACCTATGGACGCCAGCTGGCCCAGGAGCAATATCGCAAGCTCAACATGCTCGTCGAGCTGCTGGAAAGCGAGTAAGTCCATATTTAATCATAATATATTGTATCTTCTACTAGCGGTCATTGCCCGGCCTTGCCCGTGGAACGTTTTGTGCTACAAATTTTGGATGATACCTTTCCACTAAGTACACGTCCGTGGAAAATCGAAATCTAATTATCTTGATCCGATTTCTTTTCAAAAATATGTTTGCAAAAACCAAATCAAAGTTCCACAAATGATCTTGAAGGCTAACGGATGGTAAGCAAAAAAAAAAAACGTTCATACGAACGTTTTCCGCGAATTTCCCACTGTTTTGGGTGGAATGTAGCAAAACGCTGAAAATCAGCTAGAAGCAACAATTCTTTGAATCGCATTTTCCGCGAAGGAAGCTTGAATTCTGCGAAAAGTGTGAAACACGTCTCAAATAATTTTTCATATAAATTCTGGGAATTGAATCTAAGCACGAAACGTCAACCACCAAATCTTTAACGTCCGGCAAGGAGGAATGCATTACCGAAAAAGTGTGAAACACGCCTCAAATGAATTTGAACAAAGATCGTTGAAAATGAGTTTCAGGCCGTCGCATGCATGCAAATGGTTTTCGCGATTTTTCCACGCATGCGGGTGGAACAACACAGTGGAAATTTGAGTGTAGCTCTTCAGGCTTGGACTGTGCGTTGACCATCAATTAGTCAATCAGGAAAAACAGTTTTTTTATAGAGTTAACGATTAAGAAACAACAAGATATAAACTCGAAAGTGTGAATAAGTGCAGTGTGTGTCCAGCTATATACCAAGAACTTGAAGGATCTACCTTCAGCTGACTTTCCTATTCAACTTTGGGCTGTGCGCAGCTTAAACATGTTGCGAATTTCAACGCATCAGGCAACGAAATATCTAAATGCGCGTAAAAACAAATGCCCACGCTTGTGTGCTGTACTTTGATGGCACATTAAATATAATTTATATTGATTTTAACTATTCTTTGATTTTAGAATGCCCGCCGAGGATTTCTATCGTCGCTTTCCCGAGGAGAAGCTGAGCAAAATCGAGGGCGTCATTGATAAATTGAAGGCCAAATTTGGTGCCGTACGTAAAATTCAATCAACTGAAAGACTTTACTTTTAAAACAAATTCAATTTCCATTTGCAGCTGCTAAATCCCAGCGAGATAATTGTGATTGATGCCGCGGAACCAAACGAGCTGCCAAGCACCTCAATGGCAGCCGTTGAAGTTGTGTCCAAATCGAATCCAAGCGCAATCAAAACTGCCGACAAAGTTGTGACAGCGAATGGCACATCGCCCTCGTCCAGGCTGGACGATGTGCATAGACCGAGTCCGGCTGCAGCCAAAAGCTCCACGGGCTTCGAGCGCAGATCGAATCCACCGATGCTAAGTGCTTCGTTAAATGCAGACATGAGCTCACCGCCCGCCGCCAAGGCGGACTTCGAGCGTAGAGCGCAGCCGGCAGCCAATCTGACCGTGGATCTAACCTCGCCCATTGGCAGCAGGCGGCAGGATTTTACCCGCAGAACTAACCAGCTGACAGTCACAACAACAACGCCGCCGCCCGCCGTTGCCAATGTGAGCAGTCCCCAGGCGAGATCGCCCCTGATCGTATTCGAGCGTCGCTCGAATCCGCCGGCGCGGTCCGTCGAAGCGGCGGCCAACTCGGAGGCGGAACAATCGAAGCTCAAGTCGCTGGAGGAGGCACGCAAAAAGCTGGCCGCGTTGCGCGGCAACAGCGAGACAGTCGCACCCCAGTTGGCCTCCAATTGCAATGATCCGCGCGGACGCAAAGCCATCTATGCGAACAACCGCTTGGAGCAGCGTTCGAGGTCTTCGTCGTTGTCGCCGCCACCGCCGCCGCCGGCGCTGCCGACGCGCACGTTTCCGACAGCCGGACGCAGCCAGACGCGTCCTCCCGCCATGGTTAACATTCCACGTGCTGCTGTCGCTGCTCCTCCTGCTGCACAGCACAACATTCCGACGCCGTTGCTGCGGACCCGGGCGCCGCTTAATCTCAACACATCGGCCGCTGTAGCCGCCGCTGCAGCAGCTGCTGCAGCCGCTGCCAGTGCCGAATTTCAGTGCAGTCCCAATGAGCCGCTTCAGGAATTCACTGAAATGCGGCGCTACAATAATACGGAGTTGCGGGATGCGCGCGATCCGCGCTGCAACAAGTGGGTTAACAACAACAACAACATCAATGTGCCATTGCTGGCAAACCCAACAGGAGTTCAGCAGCCGGGCGGACCAGCAGCAGCAGGAGCTAATCATCAGTATCCGGGCGCAGTGCGTCGTCCGGCGCCCTACAAGGACGTGCCGTACGCTGGCTTCGAGGACGCGCCGCCTGGTCCCAACTGGCAGGCAGCCAACAAGAACAATAACAACAACTATAGCTATAACAACAACAACAGCTGGTCCAATAACAACCACAACAACAACAATAACAATGTTTACAACAAGCCCAACACCAGCTTTAGCTATCGCGGCGGCTTCCATCGCGGCGTTGGCCACAATGGCAATCCGCGCTTTCCCCCGCCCACGGCTACGGCTGTGCATGCCGAGCCGCGCACCTATCGCGAACATCGTGAAGCTAAGGCCGCAGCTGCCAAGTTGCAGGCGGAGAAGCAACGTCAACTGGAGGCAGCCGAAAAGCAGCGTCAAATCGAACACGAGACGCCGACGGGGCCAAAGCAGGCAACGGTCGATGGGGATCGCGTCCAGCTGGACACATCATATCGCGATGTAGCTGGAACAGCGACCAACAAGAAGCTCGATTTCAAAATACCCAAAAAGGTGCACGCGGCGGACAAGTCGTGCGGCGAGTCGAGAGGAGAGACAAGAGGGCAGAAGGCTGATAGGACAAATAGGTCGAATGAAGTGCAGGCGGAAGAAGAGGAGGAGGAGGAGAACTGCAATGATATTGACGTGGAGCAGGAGACGTGCACGACGAAAGGTATTAATGGAGAATCGAACAAGGCACACAAGAAGGCAACGGATAGGTTAAATAAGGTAAATAAAGCTGATAAAATGAACAAAAAGGATAAGCCGGATAAGTTGGATAAGGCTACGGATAAGATTATGGATACGGTGGATAAATCGGATAAAGTGGCTAAGCCAGATAAAGCGAATAAGTCAATTAAAGCCGATAAGGCAGATAAAACGGAAATATTGGGTAAGACGGATAAAACAGATCAATTATTAGATAGCACGGATAAAGCAGATAAGTCAAATAAAATGGATAAAACGGATAAATTGGATAAGAAACACAAGTCCGACAAGGAGCACGTAAAGCGCGACAAATCGAAGCATAGGGATAAGAAAGGCGAAATGGATAAGGATAAACGTGCGCAGAAAAAGGACAAAGCCAATGCGGATAAGCCCAAAGACAAAGAAGAAAAAGAAAAAGAGGCCAAGAAACCAGATAACACGGATAATGTCGAGAACGAGCCGCCGGAGACGTCCGAAAAGCGCGCAGAGCCGGATGAGCAGCCGGAAAGACGCAAAACCAAAGGCAGCAGCAAAATGCCGGAGCAAGAGGATGGGGTGGAGCAAGAGCAATTGGAGCCCGAGCTAGAGGCGGACAATGAGGACGCTATTGTCGATGTCGAGCATCTGTCCGAAGAGACAAACTCTGAGCCAAAAGAGGCGAACAAAAAAGATGAGGCTGAACTCATGCCAAAGTTGCCCAAGCTAAAGGTGGTGCTTGGTCCCAATGCGCACACCATCACCATAATACCCAGATACGAGAATAACGACGAACCAAAGGCTGAGGCGGCGAAGACGGTGACGGAGCCGGAGACGGAACTGAAGCGTATCATGAAACGACGCAAATCGATGATGCCGCTGGCCAGCAAGCCGCTGGTCGACAAATCGGAGCTGTTCACGGGAAATAGTTTCGTCTACGAGGACATTGTGGAGCACCAGCGTCAGCAGCAGGAACAGACGGAGAAGCAAGCGGAGGAAGAGATGTCGGAGGAGGCGTCGGACATCAATGCCAGCCGGCGAGCCAACCGGCATCTGGCCAATATGTTCGAGAAGACGAATGACAATTGCAGCATCTCCACGCACAATATACTCGCCGGCAAGCGACGCTCCTGCTTCAATAATCTGGCCATGAACGAGACCCAGCTGAGTCGCAATGTCTTTGGCCTGGCGCCCGGCGTCAAGACCAAGCCAAAAGCCAAGCCCAAAGAGCAGGCGCCGACAACGGCAGCTAAACGCAAGCGCGGCAGGCCGTCCAAGGCGGCGACAGAGGAGCGAGAGCAGCAGCCGGAACAGCAGCAGCAGCAGCAGGAGGAGGAGAAGCCGGAGCCGGAGCTGCCGCCAGCAAAGCGCGTCTGCAACGAACCGGCGACTGCGTTGCCACCGCCACGGCGCAAGCCGAAGCGCAGCGAGCTGGACAAGCTGAACGAGGACATTGCGCACATGTACTATGCGGACGATGTGATGCGTGCGACCGGCAGACGCGCCTGTACGGCACAAAAGCAGAAGCAACAGAGGCAGCAGAAGCAGCTGGCTGAGAACGGCGCCTCCAGCTTGCGCAGCAGGTCGAGCAGCGGCAGCTTTGCCAGCCACGCGGAGCTAGCGCCCTTTATACGCAATGTGGCGCGACGTGGTCGACGCTTTGGTGGCGTCGCATCGGGTCCGGATCGAGCCAGCTTCAAGGCCAAGAAGCAGCTGCAGCTGGCGGAGCACACCAAGCGCTGTTTGGTGCGTTTGTCGCGCTGCGCCCAGCTGGAGCAGCTGCTCCGACAGAAGAAGCAAAAGCAACAGACGACGACGACGACGACAAAGAAGCGCTCGTCAACCAAAGCGTCCGCGGCCAGCAGCAGCAGTCCCATCAAGAACATAAATCCCTCGTGGCACGCCATGTCCACGGCGCTGAGCAGCTGCGTCATTTGTGCCAAGCTCTTGCGCTTCCCCCTGCTGCACTATGTGCAGCATCACGAGGAACACTTCGGTTCACGCCTGCCGCCGGGCATCCTGCAGCAGTTGCGCACGGGCCAGGACAATCGTCCCATTTACGGCCTATCGCTGCCCAGCGTGCAGGGCGTCCGGTATGGCTACAAGTGTCCGTTTTGCCGCAAGCATCTGCAGCTGAACAACCCCAGCTGGGTGGAGCATTTCGCTCGGCATACGGGCGAACCGAATTTCCAGTGCTCGCGCTGCAAGGTGCCCCGCCATCGCCTCAACGAAATCGAACGCCATGTCGCCGGCTGCGGCGCCGGCGCCCGCGTCATTGTCAACAACAATTACAGCTGCCGGCTGCCGGTACGGATACATGTATGCCATCTGTGCGATTTCGTGCAGCTCAATCGACAGAATCTGGAGCGGCACTGGAAGCATCAGCACGCGTTCACCGACGAGCCATTGGCCGGCCTTGGCCAGAAGCTGGTCATCTATCATACGGCCGGGGTGCCCATTGTCAAGTCGCAGGCGCTGGCCAAGAATCTCTTACGGCGACACAATGCCCAGGCCAATGAGGCGGGCAAGGCGAAGGCCAGCAAAAAGAACAACAAGAAGAAGCAGAAGCAGCAGCAGCAGCAGCAAAAGCCCAAGCAGCCGACCAAGGTGGAGCCGGAGGCGCAGCTGGATGATGAAAACTCGTCGGCATGCGTGGATGTGCTGACCATGCCGCCGCCCACGCTGCCGGAGGAGGATCAGCTGCTGGTGCTCAACGAGTGCAAGCTGGAGCAGGAGGAGGAGCAGCGCCAGCAGCAACAGCAGGTGGAGCATCATCAGCATGTGGAGCCAGAAATAGGGCCGGAGCAGCTGCAGCTGCAGCCGGACGATAATCTGTCCGGCATCGGCTCGGATGGCTCCGACAATGAAAAGGATCACGACGAGGGCATGAACACGCCCAAACAGCGCGACGAATGGATCGATGTCGAGTGCGGCAGCGGCAGCGTCCAACGCCAAAAGTCCATCTTTCGCAATTTTCACAAATTCTGCAGCAAACTGGGCAACGGCAGCCCCGCCAGCAAAACGAGCAGCAAGTCGACCAAGTCCGCGGCGAGCAGCTGCTGCGATGGTGACGTCGCCGACTTGGATTCCGTGCAAATGCCCGCTCAGGCAACCACACCTACTCCTACGCTAACTACGTCCACGTCCACGCTAACCCAACAGTTCAGCGTTGAGAATGTGGCGTATCGTTTGCGTCCAACGTCGGAGCAACAACAAGAACCGCAACCCGCTTACTATTGCAAGCAGCCCGGCTGCACGTTCCTATTCTCCAACGAGCTGGAGGGCCTAGAGAATCATTTTACTCGCGAGCATCCGCTGGTGCGCTGGAGCGGACACTGTGCCAGCTGTACGGAACAGACGCAGCCGCAGCAGGAGCTGCAGCTGGAGCAGCAGCTGACCATTAGCGCGGAGCTGCAGCATCTGGTCAGCCGGCACATGGCAGTTCCAGCTGCGGCACAAGCGGAGCCCGTTCTGCCCAAGCTGCGCGTGCGACGCTTTACCGGAGATCGTCTGGCGGCTGAGCCGGAAGCGTTGCCAACAACAGCCCAGCTGGAGCCGGAGCTGGACCCCGAGCTGGACCTGGAGCTAATGCAGTTTAGTCAAGCCCACACAAATACGATGCTGCGCGAGTTGCTCGTCGCCGAGCCGCGTCCGCCCAGCCAGCCGCAGATGGAGCCAAGCGAGTTGCCAGCCGCGGCGCCCATCCTAAAGCCAACGGTTGTCAATCATGCGTCCGAGCTGGGGCTGGCCATTAATCAGGTGTACAGCCTGGCCGAAGGTGTGCCGCCCCAGCTGGCCGGCGAAACGTTGCCGCTGCCCGCCGTAACCAATGGCCGATACGTGCTCACCCAAAACGTGCCGCAGCACTCGGCCGCCGAGATTAACATAACCATCGAGCCACAGCAGCCGCAAGAGACGCCGGAAAGCGTCGCCAAGTGGCGCAGCAAGCGTCTTGTGGCGGATCGTTTCCGTTGCATGGCGCCCAATTGCAACTTCTGTGCGCACACGGTCCTCTGCATACGGGAGCACATGAAGTTCCATTGCTATAGCTTCGGCAGCAAGGATTATCTGCAGTGCGCCTATTGCCCGCATATTGGCAGGGATGTGGATGATTTTGTGCATCATGGGGTCATCGAGCACGGACTCGCCTCGCGCTCCGAACTGCAGGAGTCGAACGTTTCGCCGTCGACGCCAACCACGGCCGCGTCTGTCAGTCAGCGTATTCGCGATCTGCTCAATCAGCGCAATGGCCCGAGCTCCACGACGGCGACAACAACAGCCACAGTTTCGCTAGCTTCGACAGCTGTTGACGCAACTGTTCCGCCCTCAACCTACTTCGGTGCACTGCGTGACACCAACACACCCATATCCAGTGTGCTGGAGGAGCTGCTCAAAAACACCGGCTATGATGGTAAGTAAGCAATTCCTTAAACCTAAGTTGGAATTGTTGGGAGCATGCGGCTTGACAGGCAGCTCACTGATTAGTTGCGTTCAAGGATTTTCCTGGCATCAACAATGCGGTTTAATAGTGTGAAAGATCCTGGAAGATGGAAAATCAATTCGGCAATTTGTTGGCCATTCTCGCTGAACTGCTTTCCCCATGTTTCTTGTATTATAATTTTGTCTTCAAATGTGTAACGCATAGAAAGAGACATCTCCGAAACATGTGCCATCTGTCTCTTTTCCTGCTAGTCTCTCAGAATTGCATAAATCCGTTCTTCTGCTAGGTTGGACCTGATCGGACCACAATATCATTCTACCTGTTCGTCCGCCGGTCGGTATCTTTCTATGCGAGCTAGTCCCTCAGTTTTAATCTCTATTAAAAAAACTGTAGTTTAAGATTGTTAACTTCTTCGCCGAAGTACATTGGAGTTATCTCCAAGGCAGAATGGGTTTGTTTGACAATCTAATCTTATTTTTATAGTCAGCGGAATATGTAAGTGCATTAAGGAGATAAAAGAGTTGCCGTAGCTTCTCCACTGGAAAATTAAAAAGGGACTTTTTGTCTTCTTTTTTGCACTAATTCCGACTCAAAATGCGGCAACCCAAGCGATTGGAGTGTTGTGTATCATCTACATGTTAAATAGCTTAACAAATTCGAGGGTAGTTCAATAAAGGTACAACGACAGTGATTATTTTGTGCATATATGTTACATCAGGCATGCTTTAAAGAGATAGTGATGTAAGAGATATCATTGAGAGTCTGCTGGACACTAGGAACTTAGCCTCAATTGAACCTACTCAGGAACAGAAGTCGATACGATATATAATGAGTGCCCTCCTTGTGTGCGGATCGTTTAACTCCTGGACCTTGTTGACAACGTTCGTAACGGATCAAGAACTACGCTTAGATCGGTATAGTTGACACACTCACGTTGTTTGCTGTAGGCAAGCAAAAGGGTCATTCGCTGAAAATGGTTAAATGTGAAATATGGTTTCTGCTGAGAGAGAAATCTTTTTTGTGGCTAAGTAGAGCTGCAGGGATCAAGGCCATAGGGAAGATTGAAGCATAAGGGTCATTCACTGATGTTAAATGTGGAATATTGTTCCTTCCTAAGTAGAGCTAAGGGAGATCAAGGAATTGCGGAAGATTGAAGTGCGCAAATTCCTTAGGTTGTTTGATGGACTGGCATAGGATTTCAGGTTAACCCAACTGCATTACATTCGCAGAATTTGTATGCGATTGCAAGGATCGTTGGGTGTGTGGCTATTGCTTTGTAGTAAAGTAAGTTGTTGTAAGTGGAGTGTGTTAAAATCTCCTTATATCATGTGGATTAATAAAATACTTCGCATAAAGCGTAACTCACCCAGCACCTTGACAAAGTCAGCAGTAGAAGTGTTGCTCACCAAATCGCATTGTCGAAGTTTCCTTTAAAGCAGGAAGCTGCTCTTTTAAAAGTTGCCCTATCTCTCTCCACTTGCATGGATTGAAAAAGGATGTCATTCAGCATCCTTGCTCAACTACACCCCAAGCTGTGGAAGACACGGAAAAGCGTTTATCTATGCCATTAGTGGAAGATAAAAAAGTGGAAAACCTTAGCTGTATTTCGCTGAAGTCCATGGGGCAAGTCTAATCGCATGAACTAGTTAGACCCATCAGCAAGTAGTTAAGAGTTTTATCCAACTGAAATACGCTTCTCGGAATGTAGAGGAAGATTTCGCTTCGATTTAAGGGAATCCAATCCGGACCGCATAACTAACCTCAATTCAAATTCAAATTCGATTTCAGATAACAAGCTATATGCTTGCCCCTTCAAGGCGTGTAGCGTGCCGCTGACGGAAGACGCCTTTGTGAATCATGTGCTCTTCCACATGGCCAGCAATCCGAATATTGGTGCTCTTACATGCAAGTTTTGCCGACAAACCTTTGAGCGTCCGCCGTCGTTGCGGACACATCTGCAGCAGATGCACGCACGGCACAATTACTTTTGCAGCATTTGCCTGGAAACGACGACGAATCGCAGGCTAATGCATCAGCATCTGTCCAGCCAGCATGCCGAGGAATATCGTCTGGTCAATTGCCAGCAGCAGTTCATTGAGCTGCCCACACAGCCGGAGGATCAGCCGGAGCATGGCAGCGTGTTGGCAAAGCGTTGGGTTTGCGCCGTCGAGCAGCCCTTCGGCAAAAAGCAAATGGAAGACTTTGTCAATAAGCTTCTGGACGAATGGTTGTGCCGTCGCCAGGGCACCAAGACCATCTATCGACCCTCGGAGCTGAGTCTGTTGCCGCGCCAGCGTACATTCGCGCAGATGATGACGTGCGGCGAATGCCAGTTCCAGTCGCAGGAATACAAACATCTGCACAACCATCTCCAGCAGCATAGGGAGCAGGCGGTGATCGTTGCCTATCATGCCAAGCCGACGACCAAACAGCCGGCGGCCACATCAACCATAAGCGAGACAGCTAACAACACGCCGGCAGAGCCGGCTAGTTCGACAAACGCACCCGCCAATGAACATGAAACGCCTGGCAGCCGTGTGCCACGCATTCCCAAATGGAGTTATGTGCCGAGGGCAGAGCGGTTCGTTTGCTGCATTGCCGAATGCCGTGTCCATCTGGCCACGGAGTCGGCGTTGCGGCAACATTTCATGACGGAGCACAGCTATGAGCAGCTGTACAAGTGCTTCCATTGCCAAGCTGAGGACAAGTTGACCAGCCTTGATAAACTGCTCGAGCATTATGCCTATCACAAGCGATTCATTTACCAGTGTGGCCTCTGTGCTGCGTTCCATCCCAAGCGGCTCTCCATCGAGCGACACATTCAGCGGCATATCGGACAGAATGTCGACCTGGTCATACACAGGCGCAGCGACAGCTCCCTCAACAGCGACATCCGTTGGATTAAGTCATGTGAGTACAAAAATCGGATGCAGAATCTATTGGCACCTTTAATCTAGGAAAGATCCATTGAATCATTAAAAAAGGGGATCAAAGGGTTATTGATTAGGGCGATAGGCCTGGTCTGTTTGTCTGCAACATAGCTCCAAAATTATTGCCCACTTTAATGTTCGACACATACAAGTTAATGGCACCGCAATCCCTCCTCTGCAATAATGGGAAGATAGATGGGTATACCATTAACAGGCCGCAAGCTCCTATCCTAAAGACATTCAAGCCTAATAGACTTGACTTAGCCCGAGGGATGACTAGACTAGACTCTCTAGAGGCTCTCATGCCTCTGGATCTTTTGTATCCTACGTTTCCTTGGAACCTTTTGCCTAATAGATATAATCCATTGTCGGCTTCCTTTATGTATCTTTTGGGGTCTGGAAAGAAACGAAAGAAGCATCAACTAATTATGGTCTATATTTAAAGAATTGAAACTGAACTCATTTAAATTTTCAGCCCTGGGTTTACGCACCAACCCAGACGATTGGCTATGCAATCTGTGCACCACGGTGGTGGCCAGCCAGAGCCAGATATTGGCACACATGGCTCAGGTGCACGGACGCAAGCATCAGTTCAGCTGTCCGTTTTGCACAGTGTGCGACAAGGATGTGACGACAATGATGCAGCATATGCGACGCGAACATCCCGACAAGCGGGTGCAGCCGATTAAGAACTATCAGCGATGTAAGATGAAGAACTGGCATACGTTGGGCTTCTATTGCAATTCGTGCGACGCCGCGGCCAACAGTTATCAGCGCATGCGTAAGCACTGCGAGAGCCGGCATAAGGTTGGATTTCAATTTAAATGCCCCCACTGCACGCATGGGCATGCCTTGGAGCGTGTCATCATAACCCATATGCACGAGAATCATTCGGGCAAAGAGGGACTTGTCCATCAGCAGTTCGAGCGGGTGGCCAACGAGATGCCCGATGACGATTATTGGGCTATGGCCCATCCTTTTGACGGCACGACGTCCAGCAACAACAGCACCAGCTGCAATAACAATAACAACAACAACAACAATGACAACAGTAATAACAACAAAACCTGCACCGTCAGCAACAACAGCAGCTTCCCCAATGAGCCCACTATTATCGATGAGATCGAATTGTTTTCGTCGGATGAAGAGACTTATGAACAGGTAAGCGCCATTTAAATAGTTGTGCGTGTCATAGTCGTGAGCCGCTGTCCGGCCAACTATCGCATTCGTTGCTTACTCCGCACTATTAATCGATACTTATCGTACTTATGAGCCACGGTATCGATCTCGATGCTTGCGTACATTTACTTATTGATTTGAATATGTGCGTGTGTGTGTGCATGTTGTTTTTCCATATCAAGCAAACGGTCACACTGACCCAGCGCTGGTTTAACAGCCAGTATTGTATTAATTGTATTCGAATGCGTAAAACGGACAGAAAAATCTTTAGGTGATATAATAATTGATTTTGTTTCCCTAAATATATGTTTATACCCTGCACCCATTAAAAGAATATAAAAGTTTCATGCACATTTATAGAATGGGCAAAAAGAGGCATTAAATAAATTTCTTCTCGATAAGTCGCCAGATCGATATTTATGCATTGAGAATTACATAAAGATTAGATTATAATCATGGAAGTTAATCAACACTGCATTCTTCATACGTAGTATGTGGCAAAGGAGAACAAGAAACACAGTGCAGCGTACTTGCTTTTTTTTTGTTGTTGTTTACAATAATCAACCAATCGATTAATCGATACTTTCCGTTTGCTTGCAGAGAACATACGAATTCACCTGTTCCCACTGCAACGAGACGAGCAGCGATGTCGTCGAGCTGCGCACCCAGCATTGGGCGGAGAAGCATGCGGAGCATCCATTCTATTTTAGCGTACAGCCGCAATTGCGCTGTCCGGAATGCCGGAATTTTGTGGGCAATGCGAAATCGCTGCTGGAGAACCATTTGCCCAATGTGCATTCGATACGCAATCTGGTGGCCTGCGATGTGAACAAGCCGAACGAGTGCGCCTTCTGCCATCATCGTTACCAGGGCTGGTTGGGTCTGGCCCAGCATATGGTGACCGAGGCGCATTTGTCCAACGATCTGAAGTCCCTTAAGGATCGGGAGCTGAACGAACTGCTCAAGCTGGGCGCCATCAGCCGGGAGCGGCAGTCACGGGAGTCGCCCGGCGAATATCCCAACGAGTATTATCAGTGCAACATGTGCCGCGTGATAATGCCCACAAATGTGGCAATGGCGCAGCACGGACGTGTGGAGCACAGCGCATCGCCGGAACGCTTCTGTTTCCGACAGGTCAAGGATCTGGTCATCTTTCACTGCTCCTTCTGTATGTTCGCCTCGACCACGGAAATGGAAACGCTGCGTCACATGCTCGATCATTATAAGAAATTCCGGCATTGCCATTTCTGTCAGGCCATTCAAATTGATGGCTTCGATGAGTATATCCAGCATTGTTATACGTTCCATCGGGATGCAGTGCATCGCTTTCAGCAGGTCCATCCGTATACGGATCTGAAAAAGTTCCTCATGCAGGTGCTCTATCAATTCCAGAACGGCCTGATCATCAGCAAGAGCAGCCTGCGCCGCACACGCTTCCAGGACGAACGTTCCATGCTGAAATTGTACACGGAACTGATGCGCAAAGCCCAACAGCCGCCGATACCACGTCTGCTCATTAGCCAGCTGCTCAATCGCAATGTCACGGCCACTGTTTCGTCCAATGGCCGACAGCTAGAGCAGCAGCTCGTGGCGGCGTCTGCCAAGCTAACCAAGCGGCGCAAAACTCTCAATCCCGATGATCTGAATGCCCGTCTTAATGTCACGCCCGGCGTGCCACAGCAACAGGCGCAGGCGAATAGCCGCAGCTCTGTCATCAATTGGCACACATCCTTCACCGGCAATCAGGCAGCTTCTGCTGCTGCTGCTCCTGCTGTTGCCACGCCCACATCCACTCAATCGGCAGCTAGTACATCGACTCCGCCGATGCCCAACCTCGAGCGAATCCTGAAGCGTCGCAGCACCTTTGTAGACATCGGACAGCTGGCAACGACGCCTGGCCTAAAACGCGGCTGCCCGCCAGATCGTGATGCCTAAACAGATGCCAGCCAGCTCCAATTTTAATTGTATATCTCCCACTTCCCTGCCCAGCAACTCGTGAATACGTTCCAAGGATTGCCAACAGTATTTTGGCCAATTGTAAACGTGACATGATAATAATGTTACCTAGACTTAAGGAATATGTATTGATAATAAATATTCGATTCCAATGGCAAAAAGGAAATCCAAAATTTTGACCCAAATTGACAAAATGGCAAGGGATTAGTTACATCACTTTTTTTTTCAAAATAGAGGTCGGTGCTAAAATCGAAAACTTTTCTCGTGTAATAGCGCGGAGATTTGATGTTCTAAAATGACATAACTCCGCGCGGAGATATGATTTTCTAAAACGACATAACTCCGCGGGGAGATATGACGTTTCGAAACGACATAACTCCTTCCAAATCATCAGGTTTTTTTCTAAAATCGATGTCGGTGCGAAAATCTGAACTTTTCTGATGATTTTTTTTAAATATCTCGGGTAAATAATGTAAGTTCTATCGATTGGCATAAAAAAAAGGAAATCCAAAATTTTGATCCAAATCGACAAAATGGCAAGGGGTTAGTTACATCACGTTTTTTTTTTTTCAAAATAGAGGTCGGTGCGAAAATCGAAAACTCTTCTCGGGTAATAGCTCCGCGCGGAGATATGATGTTCTAAAACGACATAACTCCGCGCGGAGATATGATGTTCTAAAACGACATAACTCCGCGCGGAGATATGACGTTCTAAAACGACATAACTCCGCGCGGAGATATGACGTTCTAAAACGACATAACTCCGCGCGGAGATATGACGTTCTAAAACGACATAACTCCGCGCGGAGATATGACGTTCTAAAACGACATAACTCCGCGCGGAGATATGACGTTCTAAAACGACATAACTCCGCGCGGAGATATGACGTTCTAAAACGACATAACTCCGCGCGGAGATATGACGTTCTAAAACGACATAACTCCGCGCGGAGATATGACGTTCTAAAACGACATAACTCCGCGCGGAGATATGACGTTCTAAACTACATAACTCCGCGCGGAGATATGACGTTCTAAAACGACATAACTCCGCGGGGAAATATGGCCTTCTAAATCGACATAACACCACGGGGAGATATGGCGTTCCAAAACGACAGAACTCCGCGGGGAGATATGAAGTTTCGAAACGATATAACTCCTTCCAAATCATCACGTTTTTTTCCAAAATCAATGTCCGTTCCCGCTCCGCGCGGCGATATGACGTTCCAAAACGACATAACTCCGCGCGGAGATATGACGTTCCAAAACGACATAACTCCGCGCGGAGATATGACGTTCCAAAACGACATAACTCCGCGCGGAGATATGACGTTCCAAAACGACATAACTCCGCGCGGAGATATGACGTTCTAAAACGACATAACTCCGCGGGGAAATATGGCGTTCTAAATCGACATAACACCACGGGGAGATATGACGTTTCGAAACGACATAACTCCTTCCAAATCATCAGGTTTTTTTCTAAAATCGATGTCGGTGCGAAAATCTGAACTTTTCTGATGATTTTTTTTAAATATCTCGGGTAAATAATGTACGTTCTATCGATTGGCATAAAAAAAAGGAAATCCAAAATTTTGATCCAAATCGACAAAATGGCAAGGGGTTAGTTACATTACGTTTTTTTTTTTTCAAAATAGAGGTCGGTGCGAAAATCGAAAACTCTTCTCGGGTAATAGCTCCGCGCGGAGATATGATGTTCTAAAACGACATAACTCCGCGCGGATATATGATGTTTTAAAACGACATAACTCCGCGCGGAGATATGATGTTCTAAAACGACATAACTCCGCGCGGAGATATGACGTTCTAAAACGACATAACTCCGCGCGGAGATATGACGTTCTAAAACGACATAACTCCGCGCGGAGATATGACGTTCTAAAACGACATAACTCCGCGCGGAGATATGACGTTCTAAAACGACATAACTCCGCGCGGAGATATGACGTTCTAAAACGACATAACTCCGCGCGGAGATATGACGTTCTAAAACGACATAACTCCGCGCGGAGATATGACGTTCTAAAACGACATAACTCCGCGCGGAGATATGACGTTCTAAAACGACATAACTCCGCGCGGAGATATGACGTTCTAAAACGACATAACTCCGCGCGGAGATATGACGTTCTAAAACGACATAACTCCGCGCGGAGATATGACGTTCTAAAACGACATAGCTCCGCGCGGAGATATGACGTTCTAAAACGACATAACTCCGCGCGGAGATATGACGTTCTAAACTACATAACTCCGCGCGGAGATATGACGTTCTAAAACGACATAACTCCGCGGGGAAATATGGCGTTCTAAATCGACATAACACCACGGGGAGATATGGCGTTCCAAAACGACAGAACTCCGCGGGGAGATATGAAGTTTCGAAACGATATAACTCCTTCCAAATCATCACGTTTTTTTCCAAAATCAATGTCCGTTCCCGCTCCGCGCGGCGATATGACGTTCCAAAACGACATAACTCCGCGCGGAGATATGACGTTCCAAAACGACATAACTCCGCGCGGAGATATGACGTTCCAAAACGACATAACTCCGCGCGGAGATATGACGTTTCAAAACGACATAACTCCTTCCAAATCATCACATTTTTTTCCAAAATCAATGTCCGTTCCCGCTCCGCGCGGAGATATGACGTTCTAAAACGACATAACTCCGCGCGGAGATATGACGTTCTAAAACGACATAACTCCGCGGGGAGATATGGCGTTCTAAATCGACATAACACCACGGGGAGATATGAAGTTTCGAAACGATATAACTCCTTCCAAATCATCACGTTTTTTCCAAAATCAATGTCCGTTCCCGCTCCGCGCGGCGATATGACGTTCCAAAACGACATAACTCCGCGCGGAGATATGATGTTCTAAAACGACATTACTCCGCGGGGAGATATGATGTTCTAAAACGACATAACTCCGCGGGGAGATATGATGTTCTAAAACGACAAACCTCCGCGGGGAGATAAGACGTTTCAAAACGACATAACTTCGCGCGGAGATATGATGTTCTAAAGCAACATTACTCCGCGGGGAGATATGACGTTTCAAAACGATATAACACCACGGGGAGATATGGCGTTCCAAAACGACAGAATTCCGCGGGGAGATATGACGTTTCAAAACGACATAACTCCTTCCAAATCATCACATTTTTTTCCAAAATCAATGTCCGTTCCCGCTCCGCGCGGCGATATGACGTTCCAAAACGACATAACTCCGCGCGGAGATATGACGTTCTAAATCGACATAACTCCGCGCGGAGATATGACGTTCTAAAACGACATAACTCCGCGGGGAGATATGGCGTTCTAAATCGACATAACTCCGCGCGGAGAAATGATGTTCTAAAACGACATTACTCCGCGGGGAGACATGATGTTCTAAAACGACATAACTCCGCGCGAAGATATGATGTTCTAAAACGACATAACTCCGCGGGGAGATATGAAGTTTCGAAACGATATAACTCCTTCCAAATCATCACGTTTTTTCCAAAATCAATGTCCGTTCCCGCTCCGCGCGGCGATATGACGTTCCAAAACGACATAACTCCGCGCGGAGAAATGATGTTCTAAAACGACATTACTCCGCGGGGAGACATGATGTTCTAAAACGACATAACTCCGCGCGAAGATATGATGTTCTAAAACGACATAACTCCGCGCGGAGATATGACGTTCCAAAACGACATAATTCCGCGCGGAGATATGATGTTCTAAAACGACATAACTCCGCGGGGAGATATGACGTTTCAAAACGACAAAGCACTACTGGGAGATATGGCGTTCCACAACGACAGAACTCCGCGGGGAGATATGACGTTCCAAAACGACAGAACTCCGCGGGGAGATATGACGTTTCGAAACGACATAGCTCCTTCAAAATCATCACGTTTTTTTCCAAAGTCAATGTCCGTTCCCGCTCCGCGCAGAGATATGACGTTCCAAAACGACATAATTCCGCGCGGAGATATGATGTTCTAAAACGACATAACTCCGCGTGGAGATATAACGTTTCAAAACGACATTACTCCGCGCGGAGATATGACGTTTCGAAACGACATAGCTCCTTCAAAATCATCACGTTTTTTTCCAAAGTCAATGTCCGTTCCCGCTCCGCGCAGAGATATGACGTTCCAAAACGACATAATTCCGCGCGGAGATATGATGTTCTAAAACGACATAACTCCGCGTGGAGATATAACGTTCCAAAACGACAGAACTCCGCGGGGAGATATGACGTTTCGAAACGACATAGCTCCTTCAAAATCATCACGTTTTTTTCCAAAGTCAATGTCCGTTCCCGCTCCGCGCAGAGATATGACGTTCCAAAACGACATAATTCCGCGCGGAGATATGATGTTCTAAAACGACAAACCTCCGCGCGGAGATATGACGTTCCGAAACGACTTAACTCCGCGCGGAGATATGATGTTCTAAAACGACATAACTCCGCGCGGAGATATGACGTTTCAAAACGACATAACTCTGCGCGGAGATATGACGTTTCAAAACGACATAACTCTGCGCGGAGATATGACGTTTCAAAACGACATAACTCCGCGCGGAGATATGATGTTCTAAAACGACATAACTCCGCGCGGAGATATGATGTTCTTAAACGACATAACTCCGCGCGGAGATATGATGTTCTAAAACGACATAACTCCGCGGGGAGATATGATGTTCTAAAACGACATAACTTCGCGCGGAGATATGGCGTTTCAAAACGACATCACACCACGGGGAGATATGACGTTCCGAAACGACTTAACTCCGCGCGGAGATATGATGTTCTAAAACGACATAACTCCGCGCGGAGATATGACGTTCCAAAACGACAGACCTCCGCGTGGAGATATGACGTTTCGAAACGAGATAGTTACGCGCGGAGGTATGATGTTCTAAAACGACATAACTCCGCGGGGAGATATGATGTTCTAAAACGACAAAACTCCGCGGGGAGATATGATGTTCTAAAACGACATAACTCCGCGCGGAGATATGATGTTCTAAAATTACATAACTCCGCGGGGAGATATGATGTTCTAAAACGACATAACTCCGCGCGGAGATATGATGTTCTAAAACGACATAGCTCCGCGCGGAGATATGACGTTTCAAAA